CGCCGCCCCGCCCCTCCGCGCCGCCGGCGTGGGGCGGAAGGAGCGCGGGGCCGTTCCCACGTGGTGGGCCGCGCGGAGCCCCGACTAGCCGCCGCCGCTGTCCTCGCCCCCGTCCGCGGTCCGCATCCGGGACTGACCTCGAGGGAGCTCCTTAGCTGGAGACGGCCCTCTGCCCCCGCCCGCGGCCCCTACCTGGGGCCGATCTCCAGGTGAGCACCCTCCCCAGGGCCGGTCCTCCGTCCACGCCTACAATCCCTACCTGCGGCGGGGCCTGAGGTGAGCTTTACCTGGGGACGGCTCTCTGCCCCCGCCCGCGGCCTCTACCTGGGGCCGATCTCCAGGTGAGCACCCTCCCCAGGGCCGGTCCTCCGTCCACGCCTGCAGTCCCTACCCGGGGCGGGGTCTGAGGTGAGCTCCTTACCTGGGGACGGCTCTCTGCCCCCGCCCGCGGCCCCTACCTGGGGCCGACCCTCCGCCGCGGGCCTGGCCCCTCCCGCAGTTAGCAAGCGGTGGGCAGGAGCCTACTGGGCTCGCGCCTTCGGCGACCTCTCACATCCCTCATTGTTGCTCTTCTCCTGACTCGCGTTACTTGGTGTCATTCTGCTGGGCAGGATTCAGAGTGTGTCCGCGCGTAATTTTGCGTGCGTGCTAACAGCGTTTTGCTGCCCGCATCGTACTTATTTTCACATCCCCTTGCAAAAACCGCGGGAGGGCACCGAGAGTGGAACGTTGGTAGAGCCGGGACGGTATCTGGGGCGTCTTTGTATCCAAGTCTTCAAACACTTTTTAAGTACTTTGTAGCTGTCGCGATAGCTGTCTAACATTACACTCAGAAGTTAAGTAGTTATTGAACGTGTTGACAAAATAGGAAAACTGACAGCGCTTGACTATTCTTGTTCTCTGTAATAGCGTGAGGGATACCGTGTTGAATGGAAGTGTCCTTCACCCAGTGTTCGCTCATTCCTTATATAATTACCTATGGGAATAAGTTCTGAAGGTAGGTCTGTAGGATTTCAGGCCCCATAGATTTAAAAAATGCAAGTGATCTAGCTCTCAGTATAGCAAATTCTTTTGGTTTGACAGTATTTATATTAGAATCATGGAACTGCGCTCGTTTTTTGGTATTTCCATTGTCCTGTTTTGCTTTTATTTACGATAATTTTATTTCAGTATTAAGTATCATGAAAAATTTTCTCTTTTGAGGAACTGGATTGTTTACCTTTATATAATGAAAATGATTTAACCTGATATGTTTCCCCTTTTTGCTGTGACTTTTAGGAAACTCAAAGCTACTTTTACCTCAGTTTTATAGTAATTGTAGGTGGTTGGTATGTTTGCTTTCCTTCTTTATTCATGATTTAATTGTATTCTATTTTTACAGTCTTAAGTGTGTAACTATATTTTGTAGAGTCTTTGGAAGCAGTGTATATTTGTAAATGTATACACAACTGCATAAAGTTATAGTGGGAAGTTACTGTTGCAGCTGAAATAACAGTATTGCTATTAGGATTGGGTTTATACTATATTTCTTTTTTAGTCGGAGAGATTTACTTGCTCCATGTATTGCTTATTTATTTCTTGGAACTATTTAATGCAGCTGGTCCTAATACATAATACATAGTATATTTCAGAAGATTTGTGCAGAAACTTAGCTTTTTCCATCTAAAACCATGTGTGAACGAATCTGCTTTCACAGTAATTTGAACACTTTTGGTCTTGTCCACTTGAATTCCTGAACACTCACTTCTGGGGATGTGGTGTTTGATCACAACAGGAATGCTTGTACATATGTGTGTGTCTTCTGCCTGCTTTTGTCTGAATTTCCCCTGGAAAATTCATGGGCTCGAGCATCTTATGTATAGACTTATGCCTGAGAATTCTGTTGATGTGTTTTAATTCATTAAAAAAAATTCTTTAAGGAATGTATATTATTTGACAATAAGATGCATAATGTTTATTTCTGGTACCTATTGAGTTTAACCTTAACCTGATTATTTTTTGTTGTTGTTTCAATTGTAGATAAAGTGTAGCAATGGCTGCTATTTATTCTGGCATTTCCCTTAAGCTTAAAAGCAAGGCAACTTCCTGGGAAGATAAACTAAAACTAGCTCACTTTGCTTGGATTTCCCACCAATGCGTTCTTCCAAATAAAGAACAAGTAAGTTTAATGTGACATATACATTTTTACAACTTAAAATAATTATCACTTATATAAATTGCATGTTGACACAGTTAAGATGTAAAAAGATTAGAGAAAAGGTTGGGGAAGGACACATGGTTGAAAGTTAAAAGTAATGTCAGTGAAAAGAAGTATTGTCAGGAATTTCATTAGCAAGTTTTTCTGTTACAAAACTTCAGTTAGCATTTCTTTTATGTTTGGAAACATCTCTAATATTCCGAATTTAAGCGTATGTATCCGTGAACAAATAGGGAATTAGGTTACAGAAGTTAGATTCTAAGCCTTTGGGTAGCTCCGTTTGTTTGTAAATCCAGAGTGATGCTCCATAAGCGATTGCTTGTTGGTGCTTTGTTAAACATCTTTGGAATTTGATGAATTGAAGGTTGGGAAGTAGAGAAGGTTTAGTATTTGTAGTAAGCCATTCTAGAAATAGGTTAGGAACTAAGAAAGACATTGCTCTTTTTTAACATTTCTCAAGCTTGTTTGGCTAAAAAATACTGTGAATACAATAGAGATACCAGGATGATGAGCTCATGAAATTGGATTAACATACACTCGTATGCTGGTATTGAGACAGCACAAAATGTGTCAAAGATGGATTACATCTTTTAAAATGATGATGAGGTACAGTGTGTAGAGCACTATCATATTTACTAGTAGTTTCTAAACCTGGCTGCATCAGAGAATCCTTTTGGCAGGTTGACAGTCACCTAGCAAGTGCTACACAGGGTAAGACAAAAGGGGAAGTTGAGGCAAGCAATTTGATCAAAGGTTCTGCTATCCTTATCCTGAGAGGTTTTTTCCTTTTAGCGTGTTACTGTTCATTCTGTTAGTGACAGTTCTGATATCGTGAGCTGAGGCTTCACCTCCTTTCCTCATATTTATGAGTAAGGAAACATGTCACAATAATGGCAACTGTATATGCCCAGCCCTCCTTTTCATAAAGCACTTGTACATTATTTCACAGAAGACTGTGTCTTCTGGATGAGGTAAATAGATTTGGAGGTTAAGCCATGGGTAACAGGGGAAGCCTGGACGCAAACCCCTGTCTTTTGACTCTGCATTTTTGCTTTTGTGTGTGATTCATTTTGTGGCCGTTCTGAGCAATTGTTGTTGTGCTTCTGACTTTTAAAATTTAGTATAACTTCAGAGAAGTTAGAAGTTATAAGAAACTGTTAAGAGTTTCACTTGAAGCTTTTTATTTGCCCCCATGAAGACAAAGTTTTTCTGTTTTTATTGATTCTTTAATAATAAACTTTTTAAGATGCCAAAATATGTATGTAATATAATATTAGCAAGGATAAGTTTTAAAGATTTTATTTATTTATTTTTTCCCCCCAAAGCCCCAGTAGATAGTTGTGTGTCATAGCTGCACATCCTTCTAGTTGCTGTATGTGGGACGCGGCCTCAGCATGGCCAGAGAAGCAGCGCGTCGGTGCGAGCCCGGGATCCGAACCCGGGTCGCCAGCAGTGGAGCGCGCTCACTTAACCACCAAGCCACGGGGCCGGCCCAAGGATAAGTTTTAAAGGACAGTTTTTCCCCCTGGCAATTGGATTTGCTTAGGCATGGAATGTCCCTATAAATGCCCAGTGTCTTTCTTTGTTGGTAAAGAAATTCATTTATTTTCAGAGTATATTTCTTCCAAATTCAGGTATTACTTGATTGGGCAAGACAGTCATTGGTTGCATTTTATAAGAAAAAACTTGAGCTGAAGGAAGACATTGTTGAAAGGCTTTGGATCTATATAGATAACATTCTGCACAGCAGAAAATTGCAAAATCTCCTCAAGAATGGAAAGACAATTAACCTTCAGATTTCCCTAGTCAAGGTAATTAACATTTCCTGTGTTGTCCTGTATGTGTTACATGTGTCTCTGTTGATTTCCTGTTAATGCTAGAGGCTTATTTGTTTCAGGTTTAATTATATGAAGATGCAGCAAATATCAAGGTAGAGGAGGAGAAGGAAATAATAATATTATTAGAATTATAATAATAACTGATATTTATTGAATGCATATTGTATGCTCTACACTGTGCTAAGCACTTTGTTATTTAATATTCAAGAAACGCTTAGAACTATTTCATAAACTGGTTGTTGATTACCTTTTTAATTGGAAAAGGTGCCAGCAAATTGTGCTGTTTTGTGATTTTTCCCCCCACCTTTTTGTTGGTTTAGAGGGAGATCAAAGGACAAAATCTGGATAGTAATTGCCTCGAAGGTTTTTGACTCAAAGTGATTTTGAAGTCTCAGATCAGAATTATGAACCTCATTGTCAAAACTGAGTATCTTGAAATACTGTGAGAGTAGCTGGTGACAATAAAAAGCATTACTAATGAGCACTTAGTGTGTGCCAGGCTCAGAGAGGTTAAGTAAGTTGCTGAAAGTCACACAGCTAGTAAGTGGTCAAGCTAGGATTTGAACCTAGATCTGCTTCATTGCAAAGCCTGTTTTCTTGACCATCACACCATCTCACCCATATGAGTGTGCAGGCCAAAAGAGAAAATCTGTAGAGGCTGGTAACAGAAGAATTAAATAGTTGAGCTGCCTGATGCTTCATAGGCTTTAGTAGTTCTTGAAATTATGTTCTAAATTGTGTGTCACTTTTAAAAATAATGGACCGGTGGTCACCAAAGTGGGTTATTCTGAATGGTTCTTTGGAAGTGCGGGAAGAAGATCTTACAGCATCTCTGTATATTAAAAAAAACCATTGTGTTTTAATTTTTATGTGTGCTTTATAATTATATGAATAGTAGTACTATAGTACATGCATATAATTTATAAATAAATTATCCTTCTTGGGTATAAGTGTGGAAAAAGTTTTTATAGGTGAGTTGTGTAATCAGAAGAATTTGGAGATCACTGTGATAGTGCATTGGCGTTTAAGTATTTGACATTTTTATTTCAGCTTTTCCAGAGAAGGCAGTTCCTTGAATGGATATCGTTACATCTGTGTCATTGGGCTGCTAATAACATAGCACCCAGGATAAATTTGATTCTCAGATGCTATAAGGCTGGGAGCAAGTCACAAAGCCTATGAGTGAATTTATGAATCTGCCCAGTCCTCATAATTTCTGGTGTTTATGAATTTCAGAATTTTGGAAGCAGTAGACTGTGCGTTTGCTGTTTAATAAGTAGTAACTGGCAACATTGGCTTTCCTTTTTTAAGAGTGCCTTTTCCTTTGCCTTTTTAAATAGAAACAGTATAATTGACTATAAAAATGTGTTTTGCATTCCAGGCTCATAACCCAAGGCCACTGTCCGTCCACCTGCAGCATCTAAGCTGAATTGCAGGTTTAGGATCCAAGAGAAAGTGATCTTTAGAGTTTAAGCTTTACAAAACCCAGCTCTTCAAAAAAAGACAGCAGATATACAAAGGCGCCAATCCCTTTCTCGAATTTATATTGATAGGAGATGAATGTGTGGAGGAATTAAAACAGGTACTTTGCACTCCTTTGGTGCATTAAGTAAATATTAAGTTCATTTAGATATGATAATCTGGGCATTTCGTTCTCATTGAGATGAGGGCAAGGAGTGAGTTTATTGATTCTGTTGTATTTTTTGTGTGTATGTGTGAGTTTAGGGTCAGTAATGGTTGTCTTTCTTTCTTAATGCTCAGATCATAAATGAGAGAATAGCCGAGTTCTCTCTTTCGGGATCCCAAAGAAACATCAGTGCTGTGCTGAGCTGCTGCCAGGGCATCCTCTCAACACCTGCCCTTGCTGTCATCTACACGGCCAAACAGGAGCTGATAGTGGCCTTGTTGAGCCAGCTGTGCTGGTCCGCCTGTAGGCAGCCAGAAGGAGCCGTGGTAGCCCAGCTATTCGAGGTCATACATCTGGCCCTTGGCCATTACCTCTTGATCCAGCAGCAGCAGGTCAACCCAAGACGTGCCTTTGGGGAGGTAACTGGGCACCTGCTTCAGCCCTGCCTAGTCCTGAGGCACTTACTCTCAGGGGGCACGTGGACACAGGCTGGCCAGGGCCAGCTGCGGCAGGTGCTGAGCCGGGACCTTAGGAATCAGATTGAGGCCATGCTTCGAGGCGGAGCTTTTCAGCCTGAGCTGCTGTCATCCTACAAAGAGGAGCTCTTGGAGCAGCAGCAAGGTGACACGAAGATGGGGGCCATGAAGAATCTTCTAGCTCCCATGGACACTGTGATTGCTAGGTTGGTAGATACTAGCTACTGTGACCCATCCCTTCATGCTGCTGTTGTTGCCAACTCAGTGGCCTTGCTATATAAGCTCTTTCTAGATTCTTACTTCAAGGAGGGGAACCAGCTTCTCTGCTTCCAGGTGCTCCCCAAGCTGTTTGGCTGCTTGAGGATTTCACACCTTCTGGAGGAGCAGATAAAAGCCCTGTGCACATCAGATTGGACCACTGAACTCCTCGTTGTGGAACAGCTGTTGAACTCAGTGGCCAACAACAACATCTACAACATTGCCGCTGACAGGATCCGGCATGAAGAGGCTCAGTTCCACTTTTACCGCCGTCTGGCTGAGCTGCTGATAAACCATCCCCAAGCACCTGTGCCGGCCTGGTTCCGCTGCCTCAAGGTTCTGATGTCTCTGAACCATTTGATTCTGGAGCCAGACCTGGATGACTTGTTGGCTTCAGCGTGGATTGATGCAGAAGTAACAGAGTTTCGAACCCGAAAAGCCCAGGAGGCACTTATTAACACTCTCTTCCAGACGTATGTCAAACTCCGGCAGGTGCCACGGTTGTTTGAGGAGATCTTGGAGGTGATCTGTCGTCCGGCTGCCGAGGCACTGAGGCAGCCAGTGCTGGCCGCGGGCCCCTCCGCAGCGCTCTGTGAGTGCCTTCTGGAGTTGCCCCCCAGTCAGGTCTTGGATGCGTGGTCCCTCGTGCTGGAGAAGCTCCAGGCTTTGGTCTTGCCTTGTTTGCGGGCTGATGTCGACATGGCCCTGAAGTCCCTGTCCCTGAGCTCACTGCTGCACTGCATCATGTTCCATATGAGGAGCCTGGACAACAGCACACCTCTGCCTGTCATCAGACGTATGCAGTGCATGATGGAGAGGATGCTCCAAGAGCTCGTGAAGCCCCTGCTGGACCTTCTCCTGGACCCTCAGGGCCCAGACTGTGAGCTATGGCTGCAGAAGGTCAGTGACTCTGTGCTCCTGCTCTCGTACACCTGGGCCCAGGTTGACACCATGCTCAGTCTAAACTGTAGCCAGTATCACTCTGTGTCTGGGGCCCTTACTGGTGGTGCTCCAGAGATCTCCAGCCTCCACTCATTGCTGCCAGGTGTAGAAACACGCCATTGGAAAAAGATAGAAAAGCTTACAGCTCAATTCAACTCTCTCGGCAGATATTGCTTAGAACAGCTCTACCTGCAGAAAATGAAAAGGACTTTAATGCAAACTAGTTTCCAATCTGAAGCAGCCCTCCACACTCTGAGGTGTGATGCTGCCTACATTCTTGGTTCTGGCAGAGAAAGCTTGACTCAGAGGACAGCAGCTTCCTGGGATGGCCAGGTGGGGACAGTGAGTGCACTCACATACCCTGTAGCACACTGGCACTTGGTTATGTCAAATCTCTCCATTTTAATATCCTATCTCTCTCCAGATGATGTGAGATACCTCGCTAGTGTCCTGCTAAGAACTTTACCAACGAATAGAGCTCAGGAAGGCTCAGCAGATGAAGGGCCAAACATCACACTTGAAAACGTATCCAAGGCCATCCTGCACAGCCCTCTCTTTCCAGAAATACAGTCCCTTCATTCTGCTTTCTTAATGTGCCTAACTGCAAGATGTTCTAGCGTTCTGTGTTCTGGTGTCTTGAGTGACTCGAGTCTTCTCAGTCAGCAGCTGCCCTGGCTTTTTGTAAAGGACCACATGGTTGTGGCTCACTGGGAAAACAGATTTGCAAATGTTGGACCCGAAGGTGTAGAACCAAGAGGAGAAATTGCCCAAAACTTACTATCCTTGGTCAAGAGTGACTTCCCCATTCAGCTGGAGGGAGAACAATTAGAGAGCATCCTGGGGCTTTTAGAAGTTATTTCTACTCTACAACTGGACAACCTCTTGACTCCCCATCATGCATATTATTTTCTTCTGTTACTATCCATGGCCATCAGCAAGCTGGGGGGCTCTTGCTCCTCCTCACTGACCCTCAAGTTTTTGATGACTTGCTACCAGCTTCTTGGTTACCTGCAAAGGGGCAAAAGTGCCCGCTCAGTGCTCAGAATCATGTACGTTAGTGATATCTTTGAGATCGTACTGACCTCGTTGTTCAAAGCTACTAGTAGATTTCTTATTGATACGGATGACCCCTCTTGGTTGGAATTCCTCCAAGTGATAGGGACATTCTTAGAACAGCTAATGCAGATGCTTATCCAGATAAAGCTGAGCTTGGTGCTCAATTTTGGGAAAATCATCGCATTCCTCTCAAAGTGCAAACCGTACACTGAAGCAGCTTCAGGCAAACAGTTGGAAAATCAGAATCGTCTGGGCCGGCAGCTCCTTCTGGTGTCTTTAACTAAGTTGTGCCAAGTCCTGGGGCCTTTTGTTCAAGAGCGGAAGCAGCAACACGAGGCCACAGAAGCGCTGCCTGAGTTGTTGCAGCAGGCCATTCTCCAGACGGGAGCCGTGCTCCAGCTCTGCTCAGCGCACGGGGCCCAGGGCCGGCACCTTCCCTCTGCCTTCATCCCGTCGGTCAGCACACTCATGGAGGCGGATGTGGGCCAGCGCTCCAGGCACAGAGGGACAGAGATTTCGCCACTGACAGACAAAATGCAGCTCTCCCATCCTGCCCTCTACCAGAGTGTTTACTCTCAAATACTGGCAGAGTTGCCGGCTCTCGCAGGAGACACTCAATCTTTCCAGGCAGCTGTGCGGTTTTTAACTCTGTTCTTTTTGGCTCCAGAACTACATCCCAAGAAGGATTCTGTTTTTATCTCCGTGTTTCATTCTGTGAGAAAAGTTCTTGCAGGTAAGATCTTTTCTCTTGAGCTGATTCTGCACTGCAGAGTTTTTGGTGAAAGCTAGCTAAGTGGCTGGCAAGGTGAAGTACCCCCTGCCCCCTTTGGAACAGGTGTTTATTTCAGAAGGAACGACATGACATGGTGAGCGGTGAGAAAATCTCCCTCCTGTCGACTCCCAGGAATGCATTTCCAGTATCTGCCTTCTCTGCACATAGAGGTATCATCCTCACAATTGTCTCTCTGCTTTTACACAAACAGTAGTCTTCTAGATATGTTGTTCAGGATATGTTGTTTTTTCACTTATTTTGGAGATGGTTCTAGTTTATAGTTTTTTTTTGTTTTTGTTTCTTTTTTAACTTTCTTTTTTTGCTGAGGAAGATGGGCCCTGAGCTAACATCTGTGCCCATCTTCCTCTATTTTATGCGGGACGGCTGCCACAGCATGGCTTGACGAGTAATACATAGGTCCGCACCCGGGCTGCCGAATCAGAGTGCATGAATTTAACCACTATGCCACTGGGCCGGCCCCTCTAGTTTATAGTTTTGAGATCTACTACTCTTCTGTTTTTTAACCTTTATCTGTCCTGGCCCTGGATGGTCAACATAGATAATTTCATCCTTATTAGTAGGCTCTTCTGTATCAGATCTTGAGTGCCATCAATTGACTTAAGAAAGATACAAGATCTGCCAACTTTTAAAAAATGCAAATGACTAATTTATAGGGAACTTCATAAAATTCCTTGAGGGCTGAACTTCAACCCTTAGGTCTCAGTTTGGTGTCCAGTTATTGTTGGGTTGTAGGTGCTGACTGGGCAGAGGCTCAGCCCATGATGTCATCTTGGTGTTTCAGTTGGGTATCGACCTTCCAGGCCAGCTAATCAGGACCGCAAACCCAGCTAGTGTTTTCATGCAGGAGGATTCAATATCTGCTGTCCACGAGGTCAAAGGTTAATGGGCCAGATTTCATCTCTAACTGTTTCAAGTTGGCGTGGGTTTGTCTTTCCTTTTTGTTTTGATTGTTATTGAGGGGTTGAGGTTAGTTAGGATAGTCCTTTGAGGTGAGGTTGGGGGGTGTCCGTCAGCCAAGCCTAACCCTCAGAACCCATGTCGACTTCTCTGTTTCCCAGTGGGGAAACTGTGATGGGCGAGATGGGGCCACAGGCGTGCTCAGATACAAAGCATTAAATGAGGCCTTGTAGGAAATAAAGCCGCTTGGTGTGCCTGGGCCAGCGCCAGAACTGAAGTGTTGTGGCCTGAATGACGCTGCTGTTGTCTCCCTTTCAATAGCCTTTCTATCTCTGCCTTGATTGTGGATTGACTGAAAGGCTTTGGTGTCACATGTTCTATCTTATTCTTTCAGTGACTCTTCTAAGGAATGGTGTTCACCTTCTTAATGGGCGCTAAAATTTAGTATTTTATTAACACTAGTTACAGGGTTCTAAATGAACGTCTTAAGAAATGGCAGCTGGTGGTCTGAACCTCTGGCCCCTCTGCCCCTTTGTTAAATACAATGTTGTGTACTCCTTTTTCCCTCCAACACTCATGAGTTGAGGTGGCCTCTAAGTCCTAACTGTGTGTCCTTGGACTTGTGGTACCTCTGACTCCAAGGACAGAGTCTCCGTCATGGTCATCAATCAGGGGGGTGAGGCCAAGTGCCTCACTCACCCCTCAGACCACAGGCCCAGGTGTTGCCGCTGGGTCCAGGCATCATACCTGAGCTGCTGGACCGTATCTAGGGAAGGGACCAGAGCGGTGAGAGGTCTGGAAGAAATGCCAAATGAGGAGTGGCCCAAGGCTTTGGGCGGGAGAGGGAGTGTTAAGGTGGCTGTGAATAACCAAAAGGTGGCCACCTTTGTCCTCAGGGGTGATTCACGTAGGTTTCAACTCATAAAAATAAGCTTTTGTAAGGAATGCATTCTTACAGTAGAATAGACTACCCAATTCAATTATAAAAACCAACACTTTTAAAAATGCTTCATATATGTGTGGAACTATATCCTACTCTGGAGATGACTGAAGTGTTGATTTTGACCTATCTAATTAAGTAAACAGACATTCACGTAAATTACACAAATCATGGAATGATTGCTGTAAAGTGCCCCAGCACTATGGGACTGTGGGTTGAGAGGGTGAGTGCAGGCAAAGCATTTAGTTAGCAGTGGCCTCTGAGGTATAGGTGGGGCAGGTGGAGATGGGGTGGGGGGCGGGGCTCTAGTGCTGAGCCTTCCATGTGGCAGACACTCTGCAGTGCCCTTTCTTTTGTTTGCCAACACTGGAGTTGGTGCTGTTCTGCCCATTTCACTGATGAGAGAATTGAGGCTCCAAGAGGTCATGAGTCCAGGATCTTACAACTTGTAGGAGACTTGTAGGAGAGAAAGACTAAATCTTTCTCTCAAAGCCTTTGGTCCTCCCTCGCCCCCATGCTGTATGTAGTAAGCAAAGCCCTGGCACGTAGGAAGGTATTCTGGCAACGTGGAATAGTCTGATGGGCTGAAACATGGCTGGCAAGATAAGCTGGGGTCAGATTATAAAGGGTCTTGAAAGCCTTAACCTCGAGCTCTGTTCTGAAACCGGGGGCCACAGGACCCTGGGGACAATAGAAGGCCTGCATTAAAGGGGAAACAGCTGGATGACTGCGACAGGCAGGTCACCAAAGGTTTGGGGTTCTTTTAATCTCTACAATATTCCTGTCTGTTTAAAAGCACCACCCACCCCTGTGTCCCTACTGATTATATAAAAGAATAAAGGGGAAGTAGAAAAAAAGTATAAACAGAGTAACAGTGACCTGTCTCCCGTGGCCCTGAGTTAGGCCCTGCTAGATGTTGTCATTCTCTCAGGCTCTTCTCTGTGCTGTGTGTGAGACGGGGGTGTCATGCTGTAAAGTTGTGTGCCCTGCGTTTTTCACCTGCATGTGAATATTTCCATTCCCCTGAAATGGTGGCTGAGTTTAATGGCTACACACTCTTTCATCATATGGCTGCTCTGGTTTACTTCACCTGCCTCTTGTCTATCACATCTTGACAGTTTTGGTTTCTTTTCCACACAGATCCTGCAATTCCAGGTCAGGTAATTCAGGATATTGAGCCTTATTTGGGAACCCTGTTCACCCAAATGTTAGAGGTTGGGACGACAGAGGACTTTAGGATGGTGATGCAGTATATTCTCCAAGGACTAGACGTCAGTAACATGTGGAGAGCAGATCTGCAGGTGCGTAGCTCCTTTCCCCGTCGTGTGGCAGGCGCAGAAATGGTATTTGCTCAAATGGGGAAACTTATTTGAGATACAGTTTCACCCCTAAAACTAGTCAAACACACACAAACCAGTAGAGACTATAGGCAAAGAGGGAGTTTGTGGAGGGAGCTCTGGCCTCTGGAGAGGCCCAGGGCCTCAATGTAAGGAGGTCTTATTTTTCAAAGGGAAACTTTTTCAAATTGCATCTGTGTGTTCTGATTATGTGAAATACTAAAGATGATGTACTCATAGTATTAACACATAAAAAAGTTAAATTCTGTTCATCCATTGTTTAAGATCTGTCCCATCATACTTTTTGAAAAATTTTACTTGATTTGGTCACACGACCCAGATCCCATTTGAGAATCACTTAGGTTAGCAAGCTGCCCTTCAGTCCCTTGCACCTTGTTTATTTGGTAGTTGCTGATAAAACCTTGCATTTGCATTTGGCATTACGTGTTTTAGAGAGCCTCTGCGTGGAGCGCACATGCTGGATTTGGTCCTCTAAACGGCCCATGCATTGGACTGGTCAGGTATTGTCCCTGCTTACAGAGGAGGAAGAAGGCCACAGAGCTAACTATCGCGGGGCCAGGATTACGGCCCAAGTCGTCTAGTTCTGAGCTTTCTCTGCATCACGAGTGGCTTCTTGACTTCTGATTATAATCAGTACACAAGGATTGAGTTTTGATTTGGGAGGAGGAGAGCTGGAGAGGGTTATTTGAGTCAGAGTGGGGCAGCAGGGAGAACTCACGTCTCCTTTATGTGAGCATGAGGCCTGAGATGTACCAGGCCAGCTGCTCTGTGCCGCCCGCAGCGCTTGCCCATCTCTCTTTGGAAGTTTTCATTGTGAGTGTCTGCAGCACGATTGGGCCACAGCTTTGAGAAGGCCTCTGGGCTTCCCTTCAGCAAGCCAAGGAAAAACAAACCATAAATTTCTATTTAAACCAGTCAGATAGTCAGAGAAGATTCATGGAAGAAGTGATACTCGACCCAAGCGTTTGGAGGATTTGTGGGGGGTGGCCCGGAGTGGGGGGACATTGCTATGGAGACCAGGAGGAGGGTGGTGTGTGCATAGCACAGTGAGTGTGTCACTCTGCCAGGAGCAGAGGATGTGTGACTGTGAGAAGTTGGACAGGCAAGGGAGGCGCCAGCGTGCAGGCCCTTGATGGGTAGACACACCCTGCAGGTGGGTGGGAGAGGGGGACCTGAGTTCAGGGGAGAGGGTGGGACTGCTGACCGGGTTAGGAATGGGGGTTAGGGAGTGTGTGTAGGGGTGTGTCTAGTCAGAGGGAGTGAGAGAGGGAAAGCGAAAAGCAAAGGGCAGAGGCCAGAATTTTGTGGGTTGTGGGTCTGCAGGCTTAGGGAAGGAAGAAGAGGCTGGTATGAGGTTGAAATTGATGGTGTCAAATGCCGGGCACAGGGTCAGATGTTTATTGACATGGGCACTCAGTGAAATTAGTTTCCTTCCCACATAGTTCCCTTCTCATGGTTTAAACCATCCCCTGTACTCCAGCACCTAAGCCCGTTGTTTTACTTTGTGTTTCCTCCTTTCATCTGTGAGTTCTCGCACAGGTAGGTTACAACTGGCCTCCTCTTTCCACGCTGTCTTGACAGGATGTGATGTCTATAATTAGACCACGGTTCCCGTTTGTGGCCTTCTTTTATTTCATTCTTTGGCACATGTACATGTTTGGTTTAGTGAGACGCTGCTGAAAACAAGCGCCCTTACTCTGCCCCAGTTCTGCTCATCTTATTTGTTGATTCCCTGACTGTGTGGTGACATAAAGGACATCACCCTCAGCACGTAACCCCAGCCTGGTCTAGTCTTTGCCCCGACACCAAGGTTCTGACGGGCTCTGCTCTGTCACTTCAGCGCCAGTGACTGGGCTACTTCCCAACATGGACTTCTTAAGAGAAAGTTGGCTATTTCTGCTATTAAGTTTGTTTCCTTTTATCCTAGGCTGTTTTGTCTGCTATTACCTTGATCAAGTTGCTACTGAGCTGCCCCTTCAGTGGAGAGAAAGCAAGTTTGTTCTGGCGTGCGTGCCCCCAGATAGTCACGGCTCTGACGGTGAGTACCCTCTGGATTGTGCCCTCCGTCTCGTCTCTTCCTACACAGACAGAAGGCAGTGTTTTGCTTCTGCTATTGTCTGGGTTTATGCAGTGTGTTTTGGGGGCTGCATCCTGAAGGTGGCTGTGCGCAGAATGCTTTTTTGTCAGTGTGTGTCCTGCCACTGCTTTCATCTGTCTGCACACCTGGGTGTCCTTAGTGGAAGCTGTGGTTAGAGGTGATGTGAGGGGGCATCGAGGAGCACTAGGAAGCACTGGACAGGCAGTAACAGAAGGAATGTGGTGGCACGATGAGGCTCCTGTGGGGGCATGTCTAAATTAGATGAGGAGGAATTCTGGGGCTTTCTTTGTCCCCACAAAATTTTGTGATCCGTTCAGTATGTTCATTCACTTACAAGTGTGTGTGTGTGTTTAAAGTCTATGATACAGTGAGAAAAAATGGCTTTATAGAATGGGGTAGTAACGTTGCAGGTGGGTTATTATTATAATCTCACCCAAATGTTAAATTTTGGCACCTGGTGAATATACACAGTAGACACGTGACTTTTTGCTTCACTAGAACAAAAACTTAGTTCAGCTTGGGACTGTCTCCGTGTTTCTGCCCTCTGAGGAGTCGGGCATCAGCATTCTTACACCTGGGTTTGAAAGAGCAACATCTATTTTACCATTGTTATCAGCCCGCATTCTAGCTTGTGTTACTGAGAGAATTGGCCTGGATTCGCATATTCTCAGGGCAGAGGGTCTAAAGGATAGACTTACATTCTCGCTGTTCTTCCATTTTGTTGCGTTATCTTTTTCCTGGGAATCTGCATTAGTGGACGAATCCCACGTCTACCTAATATGTGTAGTGGGCGTTAGGTGGAGGAATGGCGGGGTAGAGAGAGGGCGGAGGGGCCCGTGTGGTGTGTGATCTGTGTTGGTGGTCCGAATTGAGATAAACTCCAGGCTAGGAACTGCTTAGGTCAATCTAAAGGGGATAGCATGCAGTCAGCACAGCCAGAGTACCCAAAAAAAGATGAGCTCTATGAGACAGGCCCCCAAAGGCCTCACCAGGGGTGCTGTTTACAAATGGCTGTGTGAAGAGGAAGGTCGCTGGCGAGCTCTCCCAGTTCCGTACGGAAGACTTTGAGCTTCCCCTTATCTGGGGTCTGTTCTCTCTCTTCTCTAGAAGGATAATTGAGCATCTTTAACTAGAGTTGAGTTATAAGAACTATAACAAATGAAGTTTAATTATAGATGTGTAGAGCAAATCGTCTTGTTAGAAAAATGTTATATATGTCTGATGTGAAGTTTTCTTGTTTTGAGAGGTTGCATGAATCAACTCTTTTATAAGAAGTTACTTCTCTTCATGGTAGATGAATCCAACAAAAAATGTGGTCTGAAACGGCCAAGTCCATAGTAGGTCGCCCTTGGAGATTGGAAGCTGGCATCCTTGTCTCTTCCAACTGCCCACTGACCACATCAGTTCATTTTGGAGTCTGGACATTCTTACCTCTGTCACTTCAGTTTTTGCGTGTCTGCTTCAGTTTTTGTGTTATTTCTTTGGGGAGTCACCTTCATTTTCTTTCTTGTATTCCTTCTTGTCCTATAGCTACAAAACCGAGAGGCTTGTCAGGCGCAGCCTGTGCCGCTGGCGGTGGTGGGGCCCATTTTGGATGTGCTGGCCGCGCTGCTGCGGCAGGGGGAGGAGACCATCAGCAACCCACACCACGTCAGCCTGGCCTTCAGCGTCCTGCTCACAGTCCCTTTGGACCACCTGAAGCCCCTTGAGTATGGGAGCATCTTCCCGAGGGTGCACAACGTGCTCTTCTCAATCCTGCAGTGTCACCCGAAGGTGAGGAGGAGGAACAGGGCACCCGGCAGCCTTTTCTTTGTTAGCAGGGTAATTTCAGCCTTCAGAGAAGCAGCAGTAGAACTTGACTATTGCAGGATAATAAAAATAATGATTTGCTAAGCGAACTTTTTGGTTCCAGTAATTTCCAGGGCCAGAGTGGTTTCTCAAGCACAGAAGTTCTTTGTTTGTTTGTTTGTTTGTTTTGTGAGGAGATCAGCCCTGTGCTAGCATCTGCCAATCCCCCTCGTTTTTTTTTTTTTTTTTTGCCGAGGAAGACTGGCCCTGGGCTAACATCCGTGCCCATCTTCCTCCACTATATGGGACGCCGCCACAGCATGGCTTGCCAAGCAGTGCAGACCCCGGGCCGCTGCAGCGGAGCACGCACCCTTAACCGCTTGTGCCACCGGGCTGGCCCCGAAGCACAGAAATTCTTGACTTTCACTTTGGGCTGTTTGAGTTCATCTTTGTTGGATGTGACACTTTGAACAATGTTTGTGTACTAGCTTTTAAGAAAGCTCTTTAGAAATTATTCTGTTTTTGCAGACCACATATTTAAATGTCACTTACTTGCTTAGATCTCTTCTTGGGTTTCCACTTCAAATTGGTATAGGGAGTGAGGCATCCTGAGTTCTCATTTGACAAGTATGCTGCCTTTTTTTGCCTTTTCCCACACTCCTTTGTTTCATAAAACAATTTTATTCAGGTGTTTTACATGCATTTTTCAATATTACTTGGTCATTAGTAGATCACTTTTTTTAATTGAAGTATGCTGCCTTTTAAATTAAACTGAGACTAGGAATAAATGTCCCATAGAAAAGATTGCAGTTCAGCCCACATTTATTGAGCATTTGCCGTGTCTCATTTCACCCCTACAGCAAGTCTGTGAGGTAGGTGGTTATCCCATTTTTTGATAAAGAAACTGAGGCTTAGACACTAAGTGATTTGACCAATGTCACCCAGCTGAGTCTAAATCTTAGCTTCAAGACTGCTGATTTCTTTGGCCAGTGTTCTTTTCACTGTGCCACCTTTATATGGGTGATGCATGGGAGCTGATAAATAAGATAGATAAACATATACGCAGGCACACATATTTTTAATGTTCTAAAGTTAGAAACCTGCCAGCAATGCAGTTTTTAAAAAATTTATTGTCTGGCAAACTAAGCACTCGTGAATTTGGGCCTCACTCCAACACCTTCCCCACTTAACAGTTGCCTTTGGCCCTGCCTATCTTGTCAGCATCTTTGTTTTAAATCTCTCGGCTGATTGTTAGATTTTTATGTGATCAAAGAATATAAATGCAATACAAATCAGATACAAAGTGAAATTGCAAATCTTGCAAAAGATGCAGGATTTCATGCAGTTGATGAAAGTAATGTTAGAAAGCTATGTGAATCTCCTGTAAAACGAATAGCACATGACCATTTATCAGAATTAGACCGTTGAGTGAAAGGAGAAAGTTGACAAGGATAATGACATGGTATTGCAGTCAAGAATGATATAAAGTGGGGCCGGCCCCCTGGCTTAGCGGTTAAGTGCGCTTGCTCCGCTGCGGCAGCCTGGGGTTTGCCCGTTCGGATCCCGGACGCGTACCAACGCACTGCTTGGCAAGCCATGCTGTGGCGGTGTCCCATATAAAGTGGAGGAAGATGGGCATGAATGTTAGCCCAGGGCCAGTCTTCCTCAGCAAAAAAAGAGGAGGATTGGCAGATGTTAGTACAGGGCTGATCTCCTCACAAAAAAAAAAAAAAAAAAAAGAGAGAGGTCCTTGGGAAATTTGATGAAGCTCTGAAAAACTTTTGCAAATATGATCTCTTTCTGAACACATTGCAAAAGTTGATAATTTGACATAAAGATTGTGATGTTATGCTATCAAGAATTTGGTTGGATAAATTATACCAAAGAAAAGAATCCCACCTCTTGATTTACTCTGTTCATGCTAAGAATTAGGACAGTGCTGTCTAGTAGAAATTTCCGTGGTGATGGACGTGTTCTGTATCTCATTGTCCAGCACGGTAACCACTGGCCACACGTGTCTTGACCACTTGAAATGTGGTCTAGGAGCTATAGTTCTAGGAACTGAGTTTTCATTTTACTTATATAGCTACGTGTGGGTCGTGGCTGCCTTATTGGACAGTGTGTTGTTTTGATCACAGTCTAAGGATGGTTGAGTATACAAGAAGCATGTTTTATAATTTTAATATCATTTTTCAAGATAAAGTCTCAGTCGGACATTTTCATCACTAAAAAATGAGAAGTTTTGATCCGCATTTTAAATGGATTTGCTTTATGTAATCTTTTTTCTAGTGCCAATTATACTTGAATGTGTTGGCTACTGTTCCTTGTATTATTTTTTTCTACTCATGTCCAGAATGTGCTAGTAACAGCTTAAAGTGAAAGACACAAATTCAGCAAATTCTAAACTAGATTGCCCCATTAGATTCCTAAAGTTATGTAACATGGAAGCCCCACCCCAAGCCGTTAAAACGGATGCTAAGGAGTCAAACAAGGTGGATAAGCAATTTCCCCAGGAAGTCCAGGCAAAAAGAAGTTGCCACAACTGTTTTGAGTGTCCTGATAGATAAGGTTAAGAAGGATAAGTATGAGCTCCTTTAAAGTAGAAGAATTTGAAATAAACAATTACTTACATATTTTTATATTCTTTTGCCTATTATTACAGGTTATGCTGAAAGCCATCCCTTCTTTCTTGAACTGTTTCAATAGGTTGCTGTTTTCAGTTATACATGAAGGGCGGCAGAAGGACAAAGGTAATTCAGAGTAACAGTATCAGATACACGATTTCAAATGTGTTCATCTTGTGGTGTCTCTCACCACATATGTTACTGAAAATAAAACCACCCAGTTGAGTTTAAATAAGAGAAATATTCAGATCATCAAATGAATACTCAAAACAATTTTTTAAAACAGTTTCAAACTGTCACTTTTTTTTTTACTATATCCAAAACAGTGAATGCATTTGCCATCTCCTAATTGAAATAGTTCTTTTTCTGGGAAAAAAAAAAAAGTATCTAGATTCAGGAAATATTTACTCTCATACAAAGAGGATCTAAAAGTGACTACAATCCCATTCTTGACCTTAAGGAGTTCATAATTTAATGGAGAGATTACAAAGGAATGGGCAGTTACAGAGCCATCTCATTTTATTAAAAAAAAGAGTTCCTGGACTCACCATTCCAGCCTCATCTTGGCAAGGTCGTGTTTGTTTACCAATGAAGCAAACTGCCATATGGCAGTAGCATAAATTATGTGTACAGCTTATTTTTCAGCCTTGAAGTTTGTTGATTCTTGCTAAATTTCTAATTTGGGGGAGATTCTCATTATTTAAAAATTTGCATATACAGTGAGACTGTCTGTATTGCACTATTTCAAATTTGCATAGCATGGAACAGCCTCATACCATGTGATATGCTCAGCACGAAGATAGGGTATCTGATAGGATGCTCTGGGACTGCAAAGGAGGAGTTTATAACTCAACTTGGAGGGTGTCAGGGAGACCCAGTCGCAGTAGTTCTGGACACACTAGAAATTCATGAGTGGTGCTCAACTTCTCTGCCAGTGTGAAGCAGTTTAATAGATTGAGACTTGTAGATTTAAGCAATAGCTACTTAAAACAGTTAACTTTTGAGAAAAGAGAAAAGGTATAGTTAACGCTGGACTATAATTCCCCAATTACTCTGCTTGGTTTTGGGGTCAGTCAGTGGCACAGTTAGGTATTTCACCTTCTCCCATGTCTAGTGCAGAGCATGTCTCAATGTAATGTTGTGAGTATATTTAGGAGCAGGATTGGGAAACAGGTTCCCTCTCCCAAGCTAGCCTTGGTCAGTTGGTAGTGATTACCTATGGTTCTGTGTTGAGGCCTCTAAGATCATGTCTGAGCTCAGCAAGAAAGAATCCCTGTTCCGGCTGGTGATGTCTGCCTAGACAGGAGGTGGGAAATGCCCCAGCTCAGAGCTTGCTGAGCAGTGGTGGAGCAGAGGCGTGGTCACACGCTGCCACAGGTGTGTCCTACATGTAGATGTAAACGTGTCCTTTGTCGTGTGTTCTGAGGGAGTGTGGGGGCACGTTCCACACGAGTGGTTCTGTGCTGCGTGGCTTTGCTGGGTCCATGTTGGCATAGCTCGGTCACCACCAGTCTGCCAAGATTTGGTTCTGTGATGTATTCATGGCTTAACTGAGTAGAGTTTTAACTATTTACTCTCCTTTTGTTGGTATCTAATGCACTCTTTAATGACCACACATGAAATCTGTGGCTGAAATAACAAAGCCAGGTATGCATGTTGTGAACTGCATGTGTATGTTGAGCAGCCTGAAAAGAGAGAAGAAATGGTATATATAAAGTGCCTCTCTGAAGTATATTGCCTGTTGAGACGTCCAATGAATGTTAGCAGTTCACATCATTTCATAAAATTACATTGATCTAGAAAAATTGCATATATGTAGGATGTTTATATGTATATTCAAGGTAAAAAAAAGACATTGTGCATTCTAAAAATCAAGTTTTTATATATAATCTATTTGTAACAAACTGTGTCTGTTTAAAGTACACAATTTAATGAGTTTTGATAGGTGAATACATGCAGGAAACCACTACCACAGTCAAAATACAGAACATTTGCATCGTCTCCAAAAGAGTCCTCTTGCAGTCCATTTCTCCCTTTGGCCCCAGCCCCAGGCAACCACTGATCTGCTTTTTGTCACTGTAGATGTGTTTGCATTTTCTAGAATTTTATGAAAATGGCTATATCATTATGCTGAGTGAAAGCTGGGGAGGTGCTCTGGCATGTGCTGGGGTCCCCACCTGGCCTCTGTTGTGAAGGCCTCGGAAGCGGGTATAACCTGGGCTGCGGGGACATTTGAGGCCGTTAGAATTCTTGAGAGGAGTTTGTTAAGAAGGGCCTGGATGGTCCTGGCACCTTAAGGTAGAAAGAACTAGGGATCAGAAATAAATCTGGGAAGACAGGAGGATATCTAGTAATGATAATTGAATCTCATATCTATCTGCCTATAAAAGAAAAATCCTACACAATTTCTGAAACTTGAGGCAGAGACATAATTAGGATAAAATCATTTGATGATTTTAAAATCATGTGATGTCAAAAACCATTTTTTAAGATAATATTTTCTCCATTTTAAGCCTTCCTTGTAGAGATCCATCTCCTTTTTAAATACAGTGGCAATCCTAGATTTTAGCCTAAAAGTCTTGGTTACTCTAGTTAGACTCTTAAAAAAACCCCATGTACTCTTGAGTATTTTAAGTGTTCTTTTTGTAATATAGATAAATATTTGGATATATTGTCTCTCCCTCATTCTGTCTGCAAATAAGCCAATTAAAGAGTCTGGAAAGATGGAAGGTTTAGACTAAAGTCTTTAGACTCTATTAAAAGTATAAAATTAGAGGAGTTAAAATGCACGGTTTTTGAACTAATCGGTGTGGAAACACTTTGCTTCTGTAGGAAGCACAGATGACCTGCTGGTGGTCCTAGACTGTGCCCGCCTGGTGGAAAGGATGTACAGCCACATCGCAGCCCGGGCTGAAGAGTTCACGGTGTTTTCCCCCTTTATGGTGGCTCAGTACGTGACGGAGGTGCAGAAGGTAAACCGAGCTGACTGTCTCTCCCCAAGTGCTTTCATTTACAGCCCTTTGTAGCAGGGCTTCTCAACCAAAGGGGCAAGCAACGTTTTGGGCCTGGTCATCCTCTCTTGTGGGCTGTCCTGTGCATCTTCCAGTGTTTAGCAGCACCCTGCAGGGTTTTGCAGGGACTGAACAAAGTGACATTCGAGGGGCTGGCGGTGCCTGGTACATAGAAGGTGCTAAGTCACCGTTAGATCTCTCTTCTTGCTCCAGCCCAAACCTCAGTCTCCTGAGTAATAAGGGAGAGGAAATGTTACCCAGGTCCAAGAACAGGAGCTCTCATAGGACTGGGCCTAATGGCAGCCAGAAAGAGGGGTCCTGGGGCCCCTCAGCAGCAGGAGTTCACTAATCTGTACTCTTGGGGTCCATCATGCATGTGACTCAGCTGCTCTCAGACACTAAAAGTAGATGACATGGTGGAGATACTGGCAGGCTCGTTCAGCTAGGTTAAACAGAAATGCTTTTGTCCTATTTAATCTGACTTTTGACTCGGTATTCTGGATAATTGATTCATTGTTCAACAGTGATCTCACTTTGGAATGTCACTGCTGTTTTCAAAATTCCATAGGACCCTGTGTGACTTGTGTTGTGAGTTCACTACAGGACTTCATACCTTACTTTGTTTAAATTAAATGTCAGAAGCTTCAAGCACAGTGTGTTCATGTGTGTATCTGTCTTCTTGGGCATGGATAGATACAATTTATGTTGTTTATATTGGTCTCCATAGAATACCCCCCTTTGTAAATCTTGTAAGAATAACGTTAAAACCACTGGTAAACATGTTTCGTTAGAGATGTCAGCATTTCTCAAGGGAGATTAGGCTGCGTGGGCTTCCTCAGAAAACCTGGTGTGCGCCGGCTTTCTTCCTGACCCTGTTTCAGGATGAATCTGTAACTAAATAATTTTCGGACCCACAGCACTACTCACGTCAGCCAGATGGCGGTCGTGTGGGCAGACAGCTGGTCCAGTAGGGGTCTGGGGGAAACGCTGCAGGGGGCAGCCTGGCCCCATGGCGTGTGCTGGGTCCTTACCAGGCTCTCTGTAAGGGCTGCCGCAGCTCGCGGAGACCTCCTCAAATCATCTTTTGAATGAGGTGTGGGCTTGGAGTTTGGTTTCCTTGGAATTGTTTAGCGTTTTAATAGAATCTTGATATTTCCTAAGCACTCAAATCATTAATATGTAAGCTTTTGCTGGAAGAAAATGCTGGCATGTTTTCTGTTTCACTGAAGAATAAAAGGAAACATAGTAATATCATTTAACTGAGGGCCGAGAAGGGAGGCAGTAATTTGAACCCTTAAGTCGCTAATTATTCTGAGATTTACTTTATAAAAATTCTCTGGTTTCTTGGCCCCATTATCATGTCTAATTTATGCTTATCAGTTATTTTTAAATTTTAATCTTGAAAGTGAAAGGCCTTGGGAATTATCTAAGGCTGCAGCATCCCAGAATCCATTGGCAGGACAGTCCGTGTTTTATCTTTCATTTGCTTTTAATTCAGTAATGAAGAAAATATTCCATGTGCATTAGAGACATCTCCTGAGAGAGCCATAAATCTTTCTAGACCATAAAGACATTTTTAAGTTTAATTAAATGCTAGATAGTGAGTATAGCTAAGTGAATCTCTTTGCCTTCCCCTCGTATGTCTGTGGATGGGTATGTGAAGGTCTGTGGGAAGTTGGGGCAGATGACCTGGTGAGACTGTGTCCGTGAGGAGGAGCAGCGACTCTCACAGCTCTGTTCCCTCCACGCAGGACTGTGTCACAGTGGAGACATATCAGGGAAATTATGGTCACTTTTCTCTTGGCTTTTACCTGTAGATCAAGTTGACAACTGTCCTTCCATGTGGATGGCTTAGCATAAATAGTTTGCACTGCTCATCCTGCCTAAGGTCCTTGTAAGCTACTTCGAGAGGTTTTCCTTCATTGGCTGGTGGTCTTTGTTGTAGAAATTGACTTTTTTCCTTGTTTTATAAGTAAGTTGTCTGAAACGTAAAGATGTGAAGTGGTTGTGTAGACTCATGCTTCTGGCTTTCGTGTTTCCCACCAGACTCTGTACTCTGTTCCACTAATGAGATAGCATGTAAAGGAACCGTGAAGAGCGTGGGTCCTGAACTCAGACTAGGCTCAGATCTCAGTCTGCCACTGGGAAAGTGACTTCTGCTCTGTTTGCCTTTGGAAGGGGAATTATTTGTTTAGTGAGTGATGATTAAATGAATGAATGAGCAGCAACTTCAAAAGTCCTTACCCCACTAGGAAGATTCAGGACTTTTGTGTTTTGTTTGTCTGTTTTGTTTTATTTTTTTCTTTCCCTGCCTAATACCTTACTATGAAATCAAGACAACATTCCACCTTCAGTCCTTGAGTTCTTATCATCTATAAAACAGTAAAATTTAAGACGATCATCTGTCAGAAATTTTTTGAACTATCATGTGAAGGTGGCCATGACTTTGAAGAACAGCTTCATCTCAGTGACAGAAACAAATTGCCTCTTCAGGAATGTACCTCCCAGTGGTTGCCTTGGTGAATCAGACTTCTGGTTGATAAACTATATCCTCCCCAAAAGCTGTGTGTTTGCAGGGAGGCTCTAACTCTTCTAGGTCATCAGGATATTAACAAAGAATCAGCCAATCCCAGATCTGTCATCTGGAACCTTCCTGCTGCCTTTTGGTTTCAGCTACCAGGGTGTTCAGACTCTGCTCGGCACCAGGTTCAGCTGAAACCTGAGTGGCTGTGGCACATGGAGCGGAGCCTGCTCTCTTGGCCTTTTTGTCTAGATTTTAGTCTAAGTCTCTGATCTGAAAGTTCGTGTGCAGTATCCGATCTAGCCAAGTCAGAGCTGGACTGCCCACTCTTCCTGCTGTGCCCCAGATTTTAGTTAACCTAGAATTTCAGGGAAGAAATGCATCTTTAGGCACAGGAACCAATTTAGCCATCAGGGGGCAGTTAGAAATTGAGGGCCCATTGTGCTGTTTTTGACAGAAATGAAAAGACCTATTAAGTGTAATCATAAATCACATCTGATGCTGGGTGATTTGATGTGATCTGATTACTAGTATAGGCCTATCAGCAATCTGTTTGGAGGGTGTCAGAACCTGCCTGCCCGCCTGCCCTGCTCTAGCAGGAAGTGGGGTCAGTCTTGTAGTAAACACTGCTGCCGTTATCCCATGGTTACTATAGCTTCCAGTGTGATTGACTGTGTGGAAGAATTTGACATAATGTGCAGGTGGCTTTTATAAGATTTTTAAATTTGAAGATTCCAGTTTTTAAATGCCCCTGGTAAACATGTAGGCATCATTTACCGAATAGCAAAGCTACTTCTGTGATTTTGTGATGTTTTATTGAGGTTTTTGTTCACTTAAGTTGGCTTCTGTTTCCCCAGAATATAAACTTTTAAGATATGAATATTCAATTATTTAAGTTATGTGCAAAGCGGTATTTTAAAAGGAATGTCTTTTCTCAAGTTGGAGGCCAAAGCTAGAATTCCTTGTCAGGTTTTCCCAGGGCTCAGTCCCTGCCTGTTTGCTCTTACAGAGGTTTGTCCTCCTTTCCCAGGTCACCCTGTATCCGGCGGTGAAAAGCCTTCTGCAGGAGGGCATTTACCTCATCCTGGACCTCTGCATTGAGCCAGACGTCCAATTTCTACGGGTCTCACTGCAGCCAGGCGTGAGAGACGTCTTTAAGGAGCTGTACAGTGACTATGAGAAGTACCATAAGGCGAAACACGAAGGAGAGAAGAGATACACCGTCTGAGGCTGCCGCGTTGTGGAGGCGCTACCTGCAGTGTTGTAGAGCGGCTTTGGCCCCCGGTCTGAGAGACCAGGGAGTGGAGAATGAAGGACTTCACATGTGCTCATGTGCAGTGTCGAGATGTGTGGGAAATCCTTTTGGTTTATATATATATATAAAATTATATTTTACAGTCCTATGTTTCACACAGTGTTTTTAAACATCTTTTTATACAGTAAGTATTGCAGTAGAATCCTGAAAATAGACCCTGGGATGAGGTGAATTCAATAAAAAATTCCTGAATCTCTCTGGTGGCCATTCCAATGTCCAAATGTGGTTCTTGTCTCAGTTCAGTGGTTTGGTGTCCCCTCTCCCCACTAGGAACTATCTAGAACTTGTTTTTCACTTCAGGTACATTGCTATATAATTAAGTCCTATTTAAATATCTTTGCCTTTTATATTCTTCAAGTAAGTAACATGGGAAGTATTCTTGAAATGCCGCTTTTTCTGCTTTCTCTCTGAGTGTGTCTTCTGACCAGGCTGGGGAAAGTTAGAGCTGTGCTACCTGGTGTCAGCTAAGGTGCCTGCTCTTCCTGCCTTGGCTCTCTCAAGTTTATTTTGGAATTTTTTTTTTTCCTCTTCCGTCTAAGAAATACTCTTAATTGTTTTTACTTATTACCTAAGCAATGTATTTCATTGCAGCAACCTCAGAAAAAAAAATAAAAGGGAAAAGATTTTAAAAACACTCCTAGCCTCAGCTACCCAGACAGCCTCTGCCATCTCCTTGGAGTGGCTTGTTTTCATCCCTCTGCCATGCATGTGTATATATAGAGAGGTGTGTATAGGAAATATGTAGTTGCCACATAGCGTCATAAATGTGCTTTTGTTTTGTTTTAGTCACCTAACTTTTTTTCCTATGTAGTATTTCAGTAACATCTTTGGGTCTATAAAGACATTTGGCATACTTTTTAATGGCTGCATAGTAGTCCATTGAGTAGATATAGCTGTTTTATTTAAAAAATCCCCCATGGTTAGACATCAGGATCTTTCCAAATTTCCTTTTACGGATGGTGCTAACAGCTGACTCTTTCCTTCTATCTTTATTTTCATAAGATGAATCCCCACAAGTTGTCAGAACATCCTATCAGTTTTTAAGGATTTATATAAATATTGCCAAATTGCCTTCCAGAAAGTGTACTAATTTATTTTCCCACTAGTGGATAAACTTTAATATTACTGATTTTCTTTGTTTTATGTTTCCTTGGTATAGAAATATTATTTTCTTTTGAATTTCTTTAATTACTAAGAGATTATGCATTTTTCATATTTACCATTTTCATTTCTTATATAACTTATGTTTACGTAATTATGTTTCTTATGTAATATTAGCCTGTTTGTCAATTGGGATGTTTGCTTTTTTTATTACTCAGTGTCTTGGTGGAATTCATGTTGGAATTCTCCTGATACCCCTTTTTCAGTCAGTCAGAATATAGACTTACATTATTTGAAGGATCATCCCTAAGCAAAAGGCTTTACATAACTTTTTCAAGCACGTATAATTGGAACAGACAATATAAAGTGGATTTTTTGGCTATCTAAGAGAAATAGCCCATTTTTCGTGGTTCAAATTTGATTTTATTTCTTGCATCGGCTGACTAAGTCTGGGAGATGGTTCTGCTTTGCATGCTACGTGTTTTGTCTGTTTCCTTCCCTCTGTCTAGACGACGTGTGTATAGAAGCTTTCTAAGCTCTGGGGACCAGAAATGGATTCAGGTGGTCTGGCATCGTTGTGCGTATTGACAGAATTTTGTTTCTGTGCTGAATTCCCTGCAGGATCCTCTAAGGATTACGTTATTTCTTGGTCACACCTGGAGATGCTGCGTTGGAGCAAGCAGGCGACCTTTCAAGGTCACAGGCTGTAAACAGAGCTGGAATTAAAACCACGTTTTTGGTTTTACCCTTTTGGTCAATACCCAGACAGGAAGGTCATGGGTCTCAGAGGCCCTCATGGAGTTGCGCCTATTTTTTTCTGTGCTAGAAGTTCATGAAGGCTGGAGATTAGCAATAATTCATTTTCTGCTTTTGGAATGTTGGTGGAGTGCAGGGAGACATGGAGCAATTTCTCAGACGTTCTGATGGTGGCACTGCAGGGCCACAGCTGAGGCCCCACGCTGCTGTGAAAAGGGAGCTCAGAGACGTCTCTCTATGGAGAGCTGGCAGCCTTGGGAGAAGAGGAATAAGGAAAAGAAGGCTGTCACTCCATGTCCTTCCTGCACAGTTCAAACGTGCTGTCTCTTCAGTCCCCCCATTCCTGAGAAAGGCTGTCCTAATTTCCTTAGAATCGTTTCTATTTGAACTCAACCTTCCTCAGGAAAGAATAGTTTTCAGCTCTATTTTGCTGATTAATAGAGAAGAGGAAGCATTTTTCTTAGTGGTAATAATGGAAGGTATGCTGTATTGATTTTTATTTTATTAGAGTAGACCTCACAGGCGAAGTGAGTTGGCCCGGGCCAGCTCTCTGCATGGCAAATCGGGGGACTTACGGGGTGACAGTGAAACACTGGGCTTGAGCGAGACCCCATCAGACCTGCCATGGCGCCAAACCCCCCCTACATTGGAAGGCCCATATTGCTCATGCATTTGACAAGTAGGCATCAGTTTCCTCTGTACTGTGCCAGGCGCTGGGGCCGCAGTCCTCCTCCTCATGGAGCTTGCTGTCTGGCAGGGGTCATTGACAATGAGCCAACAATCAAATAAGCATGATCATTGCCAAGGGTGGTCACAGGGATGGGAAGCAAAGAAGACAAGTGCAGGGGCTGGGACGGGAAGGCCATCCTAGGGAGGTGACGTTGCAGCTGAGACCTGCCTGAATGATAAGGAGCCAGCCATTGCAAAGACAGGGGCTTTCAGGAGGCCTGCACTGAATTCACTTGTCAGCCTGGTTTTGGCCGAGAACCTGAAAGGAGGGACAAATGTGACAAAGTTGGAAGGAGAGAAGGCTTGATGTGAGGGGCTCTGCCTGGGATGTGACTTTGCAGGGGCAAAGTGGGAGCCCCGTGGGAGGTCCTAGATAGTAGAACATCAAGTGGCCCCGAAAGGACACAGACCAGACTGCCTCATTCCCAGCCTTGACCTTGACCTCCACCCATGGATGCGGTGGGTAGGTCTTCACAACTTGTCTTCCTCTGCACCTTCCCAAAACGTGGGCTCTCCACATGATCTTTCTCATCACAACTTTATCTCCTTTCTCGTCACAACGTCCCTGCTGCTTATTTGTGAGAACTTTGCCCGGTGCTAAGGAATGACATGAGGCTTGAGAGGAGAAGACATGTCAAGGAGGGCGTGTGTGTACTTGGAAGGGATTCTGGTTGAAAGTTTTCATTTTTGCCTGATTTCTCATTTTGATCTTCAAAATAATTCATAGAGATTGCTTTGATTTTTGCTAATGTGCCAGGCTACAACCCTGTCTCTTGTCTAATGACAAAAGCTCACATCTTTGTGCTTTCCGTCTCATAGAATCCACCAGAGAGGCAGCAGTTGTATCACTTGTGATTCTTCACTTCCCCGTATGTCATCTTAACACTCTTCTTTCTCTTTTTCATTTCACTTTTCTTTCTAAAGGTCTCAAGTTTCTCTGTCTTTTTCCTTTTCCGGCTCTTCCTTCCCTCCTCAGCCTGGATGAAGCAGTCGTCTCCCAGATGGGTGTTACTTCTGTTGCCCTGGGACACGGGGGCCAGAGGAATCTCTTGTTCCCTGTGTCGCTCCAGACACTGTGCTGTCATCACGCAGCAGCTTCTGCTCCCACGCTCTCCCACCGTCCGTGTCTGTGTCTGCAGTTCCCAGGCCTCTCCTGCTTGCTGGAGACTTCAGCTCTGTACCCAGTTTCCCTCTCGTTTCTTGCTGCCATTCTCTGTGGCCTCAGCATCCACGATGAGGATCCTCTGACACCCTGCCCCACATTTCCAGGGATCTCCACTTCCGCGCTCCTTCAGCTCTCAGTCTCTAACGTTAGACCTCCCACTGGAGCCCCCTCTATCCAAAGAGCCAGTGTCCCCTCTCCTCCGTACTGTCTGGTCTCGGCCTGCCCTGTTGCCCCTCTTGCCAGCTTATTCCCTATTGCTACCATGTCCAGAGACACCCCTGGTGATCCTACCAGGGGGACAAGCTCTGTTGCTGGAGAAAGTGATAAAATCTTGGTGATGAATCTTCACAAAATCTTGATCTCTCTCCTCAGCTGGGTCCACCTATTGGGAGGAAAATCTCTTTTTCCATCAGGAAGAAGCATCCATGAGGCAGCATAGCTTTGAGATGTTATAAGTTAGTGGTGACTGGATTATCATAATGGTTTTAGTATGAAGTTATGGTTGATGGTAGAAAATAAATGTTACGGATGAGAGAAAGAAAAAGGTTTGTAAAATCTCTGTAATGAACTCAACTGATATGAGTGGGAAAGGGTTTTCATGACAAAGGAGGACTGAGGGATGTGACTCAGCAGAAATGGGCACCAGTCATGCTGCAGGCAGTGGGGCCAGCTCGACTGGTGTCTGGGATGAGAAACACACTCAGAAAAATGGGGCCATGGAAGATCTAGCAGGGAGTGCTTGGCCAGATGCCACAATGGTGATAAGCCCCCACCACACAAATGTGCAGACATGTGCCTAATGTCATCCTGGAGGATATACCACACTTAGTTTTACCAGCTGTGGCCTCTTTGAAGACCAGGATGATTGCTCTTGTATGTATGATCGAGGGTGCCCACAGCGTTCCAGGTCCGGTATTCTCTGGGCATGCAGCATGCTCTGGTATTCTCTTTAAACCTTCTTTGAGCTTTTATCACAAGATAAATGACTCAAACAAGCTTTTTCTAGTCTTCTAACCATATCCCTTATGTCTCTCGAATCTCCATCACTTTCCTTCCTGTTTACAGAAACACACAATACACTTAATCTAAGAAATTTGACTGTTGATCCTGTTATCCTCCCAAGTTACCACCAGCCCCTTCTCGACAGCCAACCAAATATAGGGAGTAGTGTGCATTTGTTGTTCATAGTTTGCTGCCCTTTGATCTTGGTAAGGCTCCCCATCGAAGCTGCCCTTTACAAGATAATGGAGTCAGTTTTAACCACCCAGGTCATGGCTATTTGTCGGTTCTTGATGCGTCTCTAGGCACCTGTAGCTTGTTGGGCCCACCATTGGCTTTTCTGACTCTTCTGTCTCTAGGGTCCCTGGTATCTCCAATGCTCCTTCCTACCTTCACCAGCTCCTTTTTCTCTCCCTGCCCTAAAACGCTGGTGTCCCCGAGGATCAGTCCTTGACCGTT